GCCACTGGGTTGGTGATAAATTAGTTAAGGTTTCTGAAATCTGACAGGGTCTAAGTTTGAGCTTCCTGCCACTGGGTTGGTGATAAATTAGTTAAGGTTTCTGAAATCTGACAGGGTCTAAGTTTGAGCTTTCTGCCACTGGGTTGTTGATAAATTAGTTAAGGTTTCTGAAATCTGACAGGGTCTAAATTTGAGCTTTCTGCCACTGGGTTGTTGATAAATTAGTTAAGGTTTCTGAAATCTGACAGGGTCTAAATTTGAGCTTCCTGCCACTGGGTTGTTGATAAATTAGTTAAGGTTTCTGAAATCTGACAGGGTCTAAATTTGAGCTTCCTGCCACTGGGTTGTTGATAAATTAGTTAAGGTTTCTGAAATCTGACAGGGTCTAAGTTTGAGCTTCCTGCCACTGGTTTGGTGAAAAAGAAAAGAAATTTTTAACACATACACATATATATATATAATCATGTACTCATGAATATTTATCAGTTTGAATATTTGAAACACTGAACTATAGTGATAAATAACTGAAATTTGTGACTATTTTGAGTGTAATATGTGATGTTTAAGCTTTCTTTTGACTTCAGGTACCTACTTTGCTCCTGATTATGATTCTGTAAGTGAATACTGTTCATACATTAATGGTTTACCTGTCATTGATGAGCCAGAGATTTTTGGAATGCATGAAAATGCAAACATCTTATTTCAGGTTTGTAATAATTTATATAAAAATTAGTAACTAAGGTTTCATATACTCAGATATTTCAAATATATTATTAAAATTCCTTAAGCATTTAGATTTTCTAACATTTCAAAGCATTTCACAGTGAAAGGCTGCCTATAATACAGTGTAAACTCACAGAAAAATATAACTATCTTGCACTGTTAGATCATTACAGAAGTTTCTAGGTTAGTTAGTATTCATAACTGAGTTAGACAACTTACATCAGTGACTTAAAAACTTTATTAAAGTGATGTTTTAACTATAATCTTTGCACCTGCTAAAACATCTTTTAATAAAAGTATTTTCAAATTATTGATATGGGTTGTCTTGTTCATTTACAACATTAATTTCCTGTTGACCATGGAAAATAAAGATAACGTTGGTTAGTAATTATCATGACATTTTTTTCCTTCTGTTTTACTCAGAAAGAGAAAAGTCAGAAAAGGTTTGAAGAAAAAGGCATTGACTAATAAAATTCTGTGTGTTTAGTGTCAGCCTATATTTCTGAAGTGGATGCACGAAAAGATACTTACCATTATAGGTATAATTTATGGGGGGGACATGTCCCTCACTTTTTGAGAGAGAGAGGGATATGCTGTTTTTCGGTTTAACTATTTTCCCTCTCAATTATCTTTATGTAAAACCCGTTGTCACTAGGACCATGTGGAAACTCATGTAACATTACATTGCCGTTGCCTCAGTTTTGGTGCAGCTTGTGTGGAGTGTTTGAAACACAGGTAAACAGTTGGTCACAGACAGATAAGGAAGGAGAAGCAAGAATTGTCTGTCTAACGAGCTAAATGTATTGTTGTGAATAATATATGTGTGGACAAGAAGATCTAATTGTAAAAATTGGTTACACTGTTAGTGTAGAACAACAAATTAAGGATTTTTTTTAAACTGATTAGAAAACTCACTGTAACAACTGAATTATAGTTTTTAGAAAAGAAATGTTCTTATTCTTATTTTGTTTATTTTTTAAGACAACAATGCCATCTGGTCTTAGTTTTGGTTTTGATCATGAGTTTGTTGTCATGCAGTTTAATATGGTTAGAGCTTGTTTATAGCCAGGAAGCAAATGTAGTTTTTTGACCATTAAGGCATAACATCATTAAAACATTAAGACATCAAGGAATAAAATAATAAAAGTATAAATTTAGGAAGTTATTGTGGAAAACATATTGTATGATTTATTGTATAAAGGAAGTATTTCCAAGCATGTGACTACTGTGGATCTTTAATCAACTCCTTGAATATCTAGACAGTTCAAATGCCAAACATGAGAAAACACCAAAGCATTTTTACTGGTGAGGCAGTTGCACATGCACCAACATTTTCTTTAGAGTACTACAAGCTGCTAGACACTGTTAATGTGCAGTTCAGATAAGTTTTTGGTCAGAGGTGCCTACAGACTCTTGAAACAATGAAGAAAATTCGCCTCACTGGAGAGACTGACGATGTCGTGGACCAATATCCAGAGTTGACCAAAAAAGTCATTACATGTGCAGTTAGTCATGTTCATTTCAAAATTCTTGAGAGACATGCTGCCCGAGATCCCTGTCCTTTTTTGATCAGGTTGAGGGCTTTATGAGTTTCTGTTAGATGTCTCTGCCTCCTCTGCTGAAGCTGAGAGGAGCCTCAGTGATCTTAGAAGG